ATCAGTATAACGAATCCGGAGCCAAATGGTCAAGAAAATTAGCCAAAATTTTTAAAAGGGCTATAAAATTGAGTTGAGAATCAAAGGGCAATATTTAAACGGTCTATAAACACCGTCTAAATTAGGTAAAAAAGAGCAAGGCTAATTTAGACGGTGTTTGTTAGACCGTTTAAATGTTGCTCTTTTGGTTCTCAACTCAATTTTATTACCCTTTTAAAAAATTTAGCTAATTTTCTTGCCATTTTAGCTCCGGACTATGAATTCAATATATATATATATATATATTTATTACTGTACGAATTTGGAAGATGAAAAATTAATACACAAATCTTTATAAAAAGAAATAAATTAGAATTAGTTATGAACTTCATCGTTAGTTCATTATTATATTGCTTGTAGCTAACAAATTATTTTGATAATCTGTTGTTAAACATAATTAGCGACGAATTTTTTTGCTTAGTTACAAAATCTGTGTTTCACTAAATTTTTTTGGTCATCAATAATCTTGCGGAACTAATTTTTATATCACTACATGCATTAAGTAAATGAATGTATTAATAATGCAGAAATTAGTTATGCAAAATTAAAATATTTATGTAGTAGTTATTAATTCTATCTTTTGTTCTACATAAAAATAATACATAGATTCTATCATAACTTATAGGGATAAGGGTTTGAAAAACACCCCAACTTTGGTCAAATTTGTTGTTGCGATACTAAACTTTCATGAGGACCTATTACCTCCCTAAACTATTTAATACCGTATTTTTTACCCCATGAACTATTTAATAGTGTATTTTAAAGGTATATATGTGCCCACGTGGACACATTATTATTTATAATTTTGCATTATTTTTTATGTCCACGTAGGCAAATATATATGTTTAAAATACGGTATTAAATAGTCTAGGGAGGTAATAGGTCATCATGAAAGTTTAGTATCGCAACAGTAAATTCGACCAAAGTTGAAGTATTTTTCAGACTTTTATCCCTAACTTATACATCAATTTAGTTATACGACATTCTAAACCAGTAACTATACACCATACTCGATATATAAAATTATATCTGTAACAACAAAAATATTATTGCTATAACTTTTTTTTCAAAAAAAAATTTAAGTCGCAATCTTATGTCACTTTGAATTTGCAAAATACAAAAGAAAGAAGAAGGATATAGTCTTTCATAATGGTATGGAACAATAGCTATATACTTTCTCCATCCCTATTTAATTGTCCACTTTAGAAATGGCACACCGATTAAGGCAACAATGATTAGCATAGTGAAGTTATAATTTTACCCTTATAGTACAATTTACAATTCCAAAATAAATTCACTCAAGATAACTAATCAATGCTATGAAGTTCATAAGTTTATTTACTTTATTTATGACAACTTTATTTAAATAAGGGTAAAATAGAAAAAAAATTGTTGTCCTTTCTTGATTTGTCCAAATGGACAACTAAATAAGGACAACTAAAAGAGAAAATATGGACAACTAAATAGGGACGGAGGGAGTACTCTTTAGTTGGAATACTTAACATGTTAGCTATGACATTGCACGGATTGAGTAGGCAATCATTATTTGACATGTAACGATCCTTTTAATCTATTTTTATTAATGTGAAAACTTTACACTTTGACTGATTTATCCCTATTAATATACTCTGTTTAATAAATCAAAGAATATCTTTTCTATGAAATTTTTCAAGAAGAAAAATTCAATATATTTTTAGGCTGAATCGATTTGTGATCCTTTAAAGTTAGCATCAAATTTCACTTAGACATTTTAATTGACCTTTGTTAATTTTACACATCTTATGTAAGGTAGCGCTATGTCACTTTACATTTTTTTGACAATCATCCAAATATACATTGCTAGTGTATTACACTCGATGAAGGGTTGTGTTATGTCATTTTTGACTTTTTCTTTTATAATCACCCAAATATACAAAGTGTGTATTACACTTGTCGATGTCTTTTGTAGAAAAAAAAAGTGTTCACTGATTTGATGACGTGTGACATTTTAAACTCAAATAATAGTTTTTTCTTAAAAGAAAAATTCATCACCAACCCAGTCGTCCTCTTCACCCCACCCCACCCAACCCAGTCGTCCTTCGGGATGGCAATGGAGCAGTGCAGGTGAGGGGGCGGGTTGAGCTTAAGTCGTAAAATTTTTAATTCGCCCCGCTTCACCTAACAACTTTTTTTCATTTTCAATCCGTCCCGCATAATTTTCTTAATATTTTCTTTTTCTAATTAAGTTTGATATTAAAAATAAAATTCATAAAAATAAATTTATTTTTTCATTAAGTTGTATTAATTTAATAGGATAGTCCTCTCCACACCCACCCACCGCAACCCCAACCGCTCCTCCACCCCCACCAGATCATCCTCTCCACACCCACCCACCCCAACCCCAACCGCTCCTCCACCCCCACCAGATCGTCCTCTTCACCCCACCCACCCCAACCTCAACCTCTTTCCCACCCATATCGTCTTTTCAAGAAACATTATCAAAAGAATTTACCAACTTTGAAAATTCTAATTTTATTTGTATTATATTACTTTGTTCAGCTTGCTTTTAATTTCTCTTTCTTTGTCGCGTATTTGCTTTTTTGTTCAGCTTGCTCTTAGCATTGCTTTTAGAATGATAGATTTCTTCATTCATTCATATTTGATATATTCAAACTAGATAGAGTTTATTAAATTTTTTCCAATTTTTACTTGATAGTAGTTTTTTACTTTTTTTTTAATAAATATTGTAAAGTTTCAAGCAATTTTCCCAATAATGCTTTAACATTCCTTTCATCTGAAGTTCCGTAAAATATGACAACAATGCTTTGTCAAGGGAGAGAGCGCACAGCATTGTAAGTTTGAATTTGGAGAGAATTCGAAGAAACATCCATGGAAGTAAGAAGAAGGAAGAAAGTCATCCATAAAAGAGAGGGAAAAGCTGCTAGTTTGGGGTTATATGCAAGTTGAAGAGACAAAAGAGGAAAGGGGTAATAACTAATAACTAATAGATACAATGCATAAAAATATGCTACTAATTGGAAAATACACTGTTAAATTGAAATAAAGTAATAAATGGATAGTGTAGCTGCTAATTGTAACTAATTTTAATTATATCTATGTATAATAAATACATGGCATGTCTGCTATACTACGTAATTTTTCTACAAAAGAATATCCCCTCCAGACTCAACAGGTTTAAGGTTTTGAATCTTATTGTTGGGCAGGGTCCTGGGCTGTTAGGGGGCATGAGCATCAGTTTAGTGCTGAGGCTAATAAGGAGCATAACCAGGATAGAATGGTGGAAATGGAGTACCCATGATTTCAAATTGCAGCTAGAAATTAAAGAGAGAGTTGACTAAGCCAACAAAAACTTGTAAAATGTAGATGTGGTGAAATAGAATGAAGTGTGAGTGTATATATGGTGAGTGCATAAAAAGAGAAAAGCTCTCCCAGAATTGACAGCATGATCTAGTGGATCCACTTCAACTGAATCTAATACCCCTTCATGAATCCCCAAATGACAGAAAACTGGAAGGGAGAGAGGAAGAATAGGAGCATGAGTATGCAAAATTCTATTGATACAATCCTTGTTGTCAACTAAAAAGGGTGCCCAAGGATGTGAACTAGCGATCAGTGATATTGAGATTAATACCATAAGAAATCAGGGATCGGATACCAGCAGCAGCAAAACAAAGGTTATATCATCCTAAATGCCGAAGTATTGATGGGAGGGCAACCTGGAAGAGTTGGTTGATACATAAATTGATGGAGGATGCATGTACCCGATGAGAATATGAGGTGTCATTCTTAACTGGACTCCATTGTTAAAACTAGGAGACGGAGGGATTGGGTGTCAATGCTCTTATAGAAACGTCATACAAGAAAAGAGATTTAGTGAAGGATACAGTATCATCAACCAAATACTTAATATATGAAGCATAGCTCCAGATATGGAATGAAAAAGTGCAATAGAGGAAACTCAAAGAGATATGATTAAACATTCAGAACAAGCACTAACGCATATTACAAAAGCTTGGGAATAAGAGCACATTAGAACTAAAATGGAAACCGAAACCTCTTATAACACGAACCTAACAGTAGTCATACGGCCAATTGATAGCATAGACACGCCCATACTTTAACAAGGGAAATTTCAGCCAAAATGGAAAGTGGAACCTCCTATATACACTCTGCCTAATCTTAATAGTATCTCTCTGAAACTACTAAGATTCAGAGTGCTCTCCTCCTTCAGGAGAAACTTAAAAAAGAAAAACTCCAAGGATTCAAATCCGGAGAAACTCTACAACCTGCCAAAATTCTAAAATCTCTTTTAGGATCAATACGATAAACAGAAGGAACCATCTTACTTGGCCATACTCTGCTAGGACAAAATAAAAGAACATCGCCGAATCACCAGTAACAACCTGAGCTGAATAAGAGAATCTCGATTTAGTTCCGAGGTAACTTCACAAGTACATGGAAAGGTATAACCATCTTGCAGAGAATGATGCCACCCTTTCAATTATATATCTTCTTTCCACAATCCTTCTTTGAGCTTTTGAGATATAGATTTCTTCAAATTGGCAAAGGCAAAAAATAGTTTATATGAATTAAACAAGAATACAAGTTTTCAAAAGGCTAAAATTCATCTTGAACACACACATTCAGCTTTCTGCTCAGTAGACATTCCTAGGTTCAGATTATTATTTACTCCAATACTTAATCCAGGAAACAACTCAAACGAATGCCAAAAAGATGCAAAAGAACATTCAATGCATCCATTCTTTCCACATTCAGATGTTAAAATCAAATTCAAGCAAATTTCTACAACAAAGCAATTCATAAAAGGAGGGTGAGGTTTATCTTATGCCTTGCAACTTTGCTGCAATTCAAGTACACTAATAGCAAGCTCAATAGCACAACAATTTTATCAATGCCAATAAAATAATGTAAGAAAGCATGTAGCAAGGGATCACCAAACTAAAAAAACAAGCCTGAGCAGATTTAGGGAAGCACTACCGCATGGAAGTGACCTTTCATTAGTTAAAAGTACAAAGAACATCTCTACACAATAAAATACTGTACGGAATAATATCCTTAGTCTAACAAAAACAACCCACACCACCATATCCCAGTCTTCACATTCTAATAGATTGAATGCCCAGACACTAGCCGTTGCGAGCCAAGTAACCTGAGAAAAAGGCATTTACCACACAAGTAAACGCAAAATCATAACTTGATTACACAAATCAACATCTTTTCAACCCCACCTTAATCTTACCAGTTTTCCTGCTACAATTATAGCTGAGGGAGACTACCATTCCCCTTCCTAGCACTGGAATTCACCATTCGCGGATCCTGATCCTTTACAGCCACCATTCCATGGTTTATCATCTCCCTTTGGCCATTCTCACACACCAATTCCCCAGACTTCTCATGCTCAACTCCAGTAGCACCGGTATGATTCTGCACTAATCCTCCCCTAATAGCAGATGAAGGGGTCCCCATTGCTACCCCATTCATCTCCACATCCATTGCAGATCCATTATTCTCACCTGGCAACCCCAGGATCGGATTCTGCCCTTTCAAGTCCACAGAATTCAAAGCTACTAAAACCTCAGAAGACCCATCCAACCTCTCCGCATTCATGACATTCTCCTCCTCCAATGGCACAGCTGCAACCACCATACTAAGGCATTGATTACTACCTCTGTTAATCCCATTGCCATAACCCAATCCCGGGCCATTAGAAGGAAACTGCAATCCATCCTTCTTCTTCAGCTTATTCCTAGCCGTAAGATAAGCCACATGTTCTAAAGCCTCTCTAGCTCTTTTCCTAGTAAATGCCGCCTCCTTCGCCCTCCTCTCCGCCTCAACCCTGGCAGCCAAAGCTGCTTTAGTCACAGTCCCAGCAGCAATCTTCGCAGCCGCTAACAAAACCTTAGCCGCCTTCATATCAACAACCCTAGACTCCTCATTACCCAAACCAACCTCTCTTCCCTTCTTAAGTGAAAAAAGAGGGGTATTAGGGTTAACACAAAGGGGGCAATGGTAAGGGTGAGAAGGGTTGACACCCACACAGGAATTGTGAGAATACGAATAGCATTTGAAACAAGAAACAAGGCCGTTTGAGGCCGCGTTAGGTGGAGGGGTAGGGTTATAAACGAGCAAGCAAGTGGGACAAAACGATTGAATGTGGAGTCTGAGGACACAGTTGGTGCAAAGTCGACGGTATAATCCTCTGTGGCGGACGTTGTGGAGAAACCACCGTTCCTCGACGTTGCAGTTGCCGCAGGTGGTAGGGACGGGGAGAGGGGCGACGGTGGAGTTGTTGGGGAAGTTTTGTTTCGTCATTTTTGAAATCGGAACATGAAAAAGGGGAAAAGGAAGAGCAACTTCATGTATATAGTGAGAGAGATTCTGATAATCCGGTTTTTTTTTTTCTGCAGAAGGAGAGTGAAAAAGGATTCCCTGTGTTTTCGAATTAGGGTTTTCTATATTGGGGATTGTTGAGCAAGACGAGGGAGAGAAAAGATCTCCAGCCAAACGACACCGTTCTAGCGGGGTGTATTAGAGGGTGTTTGAATTGAATTAAAAGTTGGTCAAACTTATTTTTAAATTAGTTTTTTACTTTTTTTGAGAAATATAAAAATAATTTAAAATAAGTCAAAAATTACTTAAAATAAATTAGGAAATATTTGATAAGGTTAAAAATGACTTAAAATAAGTTAAAAACCAAAAGTTGGTCTCCGAAGGGCTTTATTTTTTTGACTTAAAAGTTACTCGTTCTGTCCAACAATAGTTGTTCATTATTGACTTGGTACACCCCTTAATAAATACTAATAAATAATAGGGATAATATTATTACATTATCCTTTGACTTTATCAAATTTAATGTTTTGAAAAATGTGTTGTAGATGATAAATAATATTTAATAGCAAGGATAAAATAGACATTAAAGATAAATTATCTCTTAATTTTCTAAACTAGACAAATATTATTAAACAACTATTTTTAATATAGTAAACAACTATTATTAAACGGAGAAAGTAATTTTTTAAGACAATCCAAACAGACTCTTAGGGGTCGTTTGGTACAAATATTGATAACGCAGGGATTAGTAATGTACGGATTAGTAATGCAGGGATTAGTAGTGCAGGGATTATTTTTTGTTAAGCGTTTGGTTCATTGATTCTCACTTAATCTTGTGTTTGATTTAAAACTCTACAAAAAAAATCTTTCCTATTATATCCTTGTGTTATTATGAGATTGTTTATTTCATGTAATTGAGTCAAGGTAGATAATCATACCATAACACTACAATAAATTTTTTTTAGAAAATAACAACAAAGAAAAAGTGTGTTATATAAATTGAAACAATTTTTTTTCTTTTTTGTGCATAATTAATAACAAGAATTTAATACTACGCAACAGTTGAATAAAATTCATAGTAAAAAAAAAAATGCTAAATCTTTATTTATTTATTTTTACAAATTTTAACCTGTATAATTATTGTATATGGCAACCGGATGTTGACAATAAAGTTTAAACTTATCAAAAATGAAGATCTAAAAATATACTTATACAATTTTATACCAAAACCCGGGTAATAATTAATCAAAATTGTTGTGGGACAATATTGTTTTTTTTAGGATTTTCTATTTCATTTAACTAGTTACGTTAAACATATGCATACATACATATATATATATATATATATAAATTTGAGGTATGACGTACCACTTTTTTTTGTTGGTAAAGTATATCTTAAACTTAACATAGATTTAAGACTACTTATGTTGTTCAATAGTTAAAGCTTATTAAAAAAAAAAATTCCAAGTGATTAATCGACGAACTACGTTGAATAAAAAAAAGGAGAAAAAAATATTAATGAAATCATTAAATTACACTAAACGGATTTGGAGAATTAAAAAGAACATTTATAATTATTTCAATATAAATAAAAAGAAAATTAAATTATAAAAGAAATTTAGGAAAATGAATAAAGGGATAATTTTGTCATTTAGGGGTCTTATCCAAGGTTTAACAAACCTTGGATTAGTTATCCTTCCATTTACTAGGGATAAAATAAGACCATATATAAGGTATAAGCAATCCATGGATTAAATAAAATAATGCAACCAAACAATGTATTAGATGGATTAAATTTTAATCCATGGACTATTCTATTTAATACCTCCTACCAAACGAGTCCTTAGTCTATTTAGTCCTCGCTCATTTGGTGTGCATGATTAACAATGAAAAACTGTTGTGAAAAAAATAAATTTCATAAATAGCAAAAAGATTAAATTTAATAAATTATCTATAATTTATCTAATTACGTTTCATAACTACAGTTTTGTTTGCTATGAATATTTTCATTGTATAATTGGTATATACAAATTATGTATTTATATATTTATACAAATCAAATATATAACCAAATAATTATATACAAGATAGGATAAACATATACAAATTCTGAATTTATATAATTAGGAACCAATTTATGCAAATTCTAAATTTGTACAATTGATAGCCAATTTATGCAAATTCTAAATTTGTACAATTGATAGCCAAATTATACAAACTCTAGACGTGCGCCACATAATTATGATGGTAAGTTCGTAGCGAATGATAATTTAATTAAATCATTGTTATATTAACTAATTAACTAGTATATATTTGTGTATCCCATTATTTTCCCTTTTAAAAATCATACTAATCCAGAATATTTCAGTTCCAAATCATGCAAAGTTATATATGACTGCAAACTTTTCTTTAACATGTGTTCATTCAAGTAGAGATAAAAATAAATCACTGCCGTTATGACCTTTGCCCTTCATGTGAGCACCTTTTCTTTAACAAGTGTTCATTCAAGTAGAGATAAAAATAAATCGCTGCCGCTATGACCTTTGCCCTTCATGTGAGCACCTTGTGCACACCACAAAAGGCATTGAGGAGATCCCAGATAATCCATGTAGATGACCAACTTTCAAATCAACTAAGTCATCTTGTTTTGACAAGGAAAACAACAATTTTACATTAAACTATCACACGAAATGAGCAACAATATCAGAAAAGGCACAGTTTTTCACTCATTTGTGTTTGGCGTACGATGTACAATGTGTGAGCTCCCTATATACATGATGTGGTCTGTGAAATAGCTAAAACGAGAAAGCTAGTAATCGTGGAACTCGCTATGAAGGTCTGGACTTATAAAACAAATTTACAACTCGAAATTGCAATGGGTACATTAACTATATTTCGGTCACAGCTTGAGTGACTAGCTAAGCAGTGTTCTGATCTTCCTTCTTATTCCTTCTAACTGAGCTAGAACTTCCCTGAGCATATGTTGAGAGGATGTTAAGAGCTGGGCATATCTTGTGCCTTCCAACAGAAAAATGCACTGAGCCACACATGAATTGAGCTTCGTTAAATCGAGCATTTCTCAATATCTACAACTACATAGCTGCTCAGCATGTGACACAATTAACCTTTGATATTGGTTGTGTAATATTCACCTGCATTGCAACAGAGACAAAAATATTAGCTGATTTCTGTTCATCTGTCTTTAAGTCTTGGTGGATAGAGTTATCTAACACCCGTATATATATGTTGGTGTATTATTGATGACAGTGTAACCTGACTCAGAAAACCACCACAATTATTAAAAAAACTTATTCACCGGCACTGATATGAGCAGATACTACAATTGATCTTAGCCAAAAGAGAAAAAGAAAGGTATATTACAGTTCAGCGCTGCTGATAGGAATGCTAAACACTGGATGTTATACCAGCTTTTACTGTCACTGCATAACGGATATTTATATTTAGCTATTAGTTGCAGCAAAACATCGTGAGAATTACATCATACATAGAAATCCAACATGTGACACTGACACAGTGGCAGACATCTTTTCCACCTCCAAACTGCTTGAGCATAACATAACAAGAAAAACAGTTGCTTATACCAAGCTACAAAAGTGAAGTGATAAATCACATTTAGACAATTTAGCTATTGAGAGGCTTAAAAGTAGTTGTTAAATTTTTAATTATTACTACATTTTAAGTGGTACTTTCATCTCACAAAGGAGTAGAGCAAATTGAAGGGAGCCTGCTGTTCTAACTGCAGTTAGTAGTTCTCATATTTGCAAGTGATAGATCAAATTGTGGTTTAACATTCTGAAACATTTCTTCTGTTAAGGATTATGTAGCAATGTCATCACATATTGGTAATTGAATTTTAAAAATGTAAAGTGACTACAGAAAAATGAGTATCTTCTGATAAACTCCGAACTATCATAATTCATAAAGTTTCCCTTTTATAGTTTAACTATCAGAAGACATAACTTCCTAAAGTATGAGAAACAGTATAATCCCTTTGAAAAGGTAATGCCATCTTCAGATTACTAACAATTAAATAAAACTAAAATGATTCACTTTATAGAGTTAATAAAACATCAAAGTATGTGTAGGGCTTACAAGAAATGCAAGAAATAAAATAACAGAAAAAACTTACTTTTAGGTGTGCTTTGAAAAATTGATGAGCCCTTCAAAATTGAAGCAGGTATCAAATGGATGATTTGGAAAACAGAGATGATCAGCAAAAACTACGAGATAAGCCCTTATACGTCGTAATTTTTGTAGACCGCACCGCATATATCTTTATGCACGCATCTGCCAAATTGATTGCTGGAACAAGATCCCAATTTAAGTATTTATAATCTGTAGTCATGTCCATCAAATTTCCCGAGGCCCTCAGCAAGTATATTGCCAACATTATCCTGTGTGATAAATTTGTCACATGAAGGATTTTGAGTATCTGTTTCATCTTCCACACTGGAACCCACTAATAAAGCATGAGTACTAGCATCAGGAACCCAGCCCTTTTCCAACATTAAATCCAGTAAGAAAGAGGCCTTGTCTTTGTATCCCTCTTTCAAGAGACTATTTATCAGCATATTGTACATGGCTGAATCAACAACTTCAAATTCTGAGACAAGCTTATCTATTGAAGAAAATATCATGTGGACCTGAGTGTTTTCCACCAGATACTCCAGAAGTTTAGAAAGTGTTTCTGAATTCGGTAATAAACCCTGACTAAGCATCATATCCAAGAATAGAACCGACTTCTCTATATGTCCAAGCGAAATCATGCTCTGAATAAGAATGCAATATGTTTCCCCATCCAGCTTACAACCATCCACAACCATTCTCGAGAGCACCATAAAGAGACCACTTGCTCTTCCTAAACTGAATAGGCCTTGCATTATGCTGTTGTAAGCAGAAGGAGAAGACAATGTACCACAATAATATGCAATTGGTAGCAATTTGATTGCTCTAACTGTGTACCCACTAGCACAAAGTCCATCCATAAGCTTGCCAAACGAGGTCGATTGAAGAGCATATCTCTTTGTTGACATGAAGCAAAACACTTCGGTGGCTTCCTGAATCTCTTCCTTCTGGCAAAGACACTCAATAAGTTGAGCATATGATACCAAATCTAATAACCCAGATTTGGAGCTAAGTTGATGAAACAATGCCAAAGCATCCTCACATTTACCTAATTTGCAGTTGCCAACGATGAGAGCAGAATATGTAGATGAATCAAGACTAACGGAGGAAACAATCATTCTAGCAAGATATTTCAAGGCATCTTTCAGCCTTTTATTACCACACAAGTATTGAATCATGATATTCCAAGAACGATGATCTGTGATGTTTCTCTCAAACATTTCATCAAACAGATCTCTTGCCATATTAAAGCTGCCATCATTTAGAATAGCTTCAAGAAGCGCATTGTAAGGCAATACACTTGCAACTTCTTTGTCACTCAAAAACTCCTTAGCTTCACTCAACATATTCAATTCACATAATCCATCTATTATACTCATGAACACATCATCATCTGGCCAAACATCATTATACACCATCTCATCTACAAGTTTTACAGCATCATCCACGAGAAGATTCCAACACAAACACTTTATCATTGCCCCATAAGTGGATGAATCCGGAAGAACCTTGGACGCTCTCATCACAGAAAACAACCTCCTTACTACATCTAATTCATTCATATCACAAAAAAAAGGAATTATATGAGCGTAAAAGCTAGAATAATCTGGTTCACACCGTATTCTAAACATATCATCTAAAATTACAAGTGCTTCATCCACTCTACCCCTTGCAACAAGTTCACCAATAATTATCTGAAAAGTCCTACCATTAGGACTACAACCTTTCTTATGAAGTCGTTTGTATTGCTCCAATGCAGCATCAGCGCGATCAGCAGCAAATAAAGCCTCTATCAGAGAATTAAGTGTATCAATATTGGGACCAATTCCAGCTTTCACAATCTCTTTATATACGAACAATACATCCTTAAATTCTTTCTTTTCCTTGACAAGTGCGCCCAATAATTGATTAAATACAGATATAGAGGGATTTAAGGTACACAAATTTATACAAGAAAGAACACATAAAGCCTCACTAAGCCTACTATTTCTAACAAATATATCAAGCAAATCCAAAAGAACTTGTTCAAAATTTGGGCATTTATCCTTTACCATCTCACTACAAAATCCTTCAATTTCATCTATTTTCCCAGCCATACCTAACTTCAAGATAATTTGAAAATAAGTATCAGCAGAGTGATGGAACCTTTTTTGAAGAGAAGCCCATTTGAATAACTTCAATGAAGAATCCAAATCAGCTGTGGAATCAAGAACACCGGCTAATGTTTCTGGGTGAAGCTTATTCTTTAAAAATTGAATCTTGGTTACAAAATCAGAAGAACTGGTAGAGGGTTGATTGGATTCTGGATTGTTTTGAATTCTACAAGCACCAGAAAGTGAAGAAAAATAGGGTTTTGAACAAACCCATTTGGGAATTTTCTTGGGAAGAATTAAAGTTGAAAGCTTTATCACCATTGAAGTTGCTCTCCCTCCCCAGTGGCCACTTATGTTTCAACTTAAAAAAACATTAAGCTAAGAAAATGCCCAGTAAATACAAAAGAAATATATAGTAATCGAGCAAAGTTGAAGGGAGGGAGAGAATCTTGAAAGGTATAGAACTGAATCCTAACCTGGGAACAGAATCATGGGAACCAAGAAAGGTGAATGGTGAAACCTGAATGAAAAACAGACCAAATGAAAGAAAACTAGAGAAAGGTCAAACATAAAAAAAGACTACGTAAATGAAGCCATTAATTTAAGGAAGTTAAGACTTGGGTCCCTCCTAGTTTTTAAATGTTCATGGTCGACTTGTGTACGGGACAATTTGTGTAAGGGACTACTATAGTTAATGGATACTCTTAAATCATAAATCTAATTATATAGATTACGATTTTATATTAGAAATTTTTTTAAATGCTTTTTCGGTTTTGGAGTTCTCAACAATAAATACCTACCCTTCTATTAGAAAAGAAATTCATAAAAAAATTAGATTTGATTGTATAGTGTATACCCGTTATGTATACAAAATTGACAGTTATTCTATTTTTATCATAGAATGATTAGTTGATCTTTTTTCTTCTTTGTAATTTGTATCATGATTCAATCAAAATTTCTCGAGTTCTTCTAATTTGTAACTTTACCAAAATCGAAATAGTTCTTATACTACTACATTAGTATGATATCGAATCGTGTTGAAAAATTTCTTATTTCTCGATTCCTGTCAAAAAAGAAACAATTGGAATAAAGGATTCATATCTTTTATTTTTAAAAAAAGTTTTTATGTTATTTCGTACTTTACAATTTTTTTCTTGGTGAGATCTTTAATCCCACAAGAGGTAGTGAAAAGAATTAATGCTCCATATAAAGAGCATTGTCACGTATACAAGTCGACCAGGAACATTTGAAAACTATGAGGGGCCTAAGTCTTAACTTATTTAAATTAATGGCCTTAAAGAGCAAATAGCTATTGTGCGTGAAATCAATGAATTTAACTTGGACATTTCATTGTCATTTTCATTTTCCTAATGTTTTCTTGATTAATCAAGCATTAACCTTCCTGCTGTATAATAATTTATCACAGCGTTGTAAAAATGAATTGTCCCGCTTCTGCCAAATTTTGATCTTCTGTTAACTTAACCACTTGATTCAATGATGTGAAACCCTTTATTGTTGTCCTCAAAAAATTATCTTGCCGTTGGTTGATAAGGTATTATTTTTTTCAGTTGAAAATTATAAAAAAAATTGTAGTAGTATCAACTATCAACGATCCAAATACATTGAATAAAAGATTTTGTAGTAGTATTTAATTATTTATGATCCAAACACATTGAAAGAGATTTATATCTTCGTCTTTGGCATTACAAGCTTAGTTAGCCCAATAGACATTTTATCTCATCTGTTACTATGTTCATCAAAAGGTTTAGGCAAATTCAAATGATGTGAATTGGGCAATATAAATATTGCTATATTGATTGGAAGATCTTTTTTTTTTGTTCACCTTTTCGTTTAAAGTATAAAGCAATTTCAGATATACGCTAGGAGGGATAGCAATGGATGAACTTATTTTCCTAAGTCGTCACTGCACATGATATATATCAAGTTCATTACATAGTATATCAGTCCCTGCCTTACTAGCTGTAACAACCCATCATTATGAATTTGCACTAGCATTCTTAAAACTGACAGATAATCTTCTCAGTTCACATCCTGTTCGACGAGTTAAGAAAAAACGATAAACAAGGAGACTGTACAGAAGAATGAAGACCCATGTCACCAGATGGACCTTTTTCTTTGCTTCTGATCGGGTCAAGAACCCAACCAAGGTTCTTAAATTGTTCCTGTTTTGGTATGGAGCAGTCCCAGACAAAAAAGAGAGGATAGTCAAATGAAATCAACTCTTTTCCTACACACATTATATTGAATGATGGAGCAAAAATTATACTCTGTAATGATTCTTGGTATTTAGACAAAAGAAAAAAGTCACTGCAACATAACAGAGAAAAACCAAGGAAAGTTTTATTTTAAAAGTTAATGCTGAAAATGAACTCCTTCCAAGTTTACAGCCATTACAACATCATATATCTACAATAATTTAAAACAGCACGGGAAATGAGACCTAAAGCATGCAGTGAGACGATAGCATACAATTCTCTTTGTATGCAGTCAGTCAACCTGATAATAACGAGAATTATCCATCATACCTTCAAGGATGTATGTAGTCTTTTGTTTCTAACTTCCATAATTCCAACTGAAATGTGATACGGTTGAAAGGATTTTGATCTATCAGTCTTCGCACAAACTCTGATTTATATGCATAAAATACCATAATCTACCACATATTTTTGGTTCTCTTAGTCCTGTTTGTTGAAACACGAGGGTCTTGGGCATTCGATTCTCTGCCCAGTCAGCAAGATCTGAATATCTTCATACCGCACCGATACACCTTTGAAAACTACTCTTAACAATAAATCAGCTCTAAGCCTTCAACAGCTTCAGAGACTTTTAACACCACTACTTTTGTCATTAATATGAACCAAACAAGCATATCCTTTTCCGATGAATTTTATACATGATACCTGCTCTGAGATGCCTAGATTCAAAATGTATATGCTTGATACAAAAGCAACTAGGATATTCTCACATACGTTACTCGAAGAGGTCCAGAATCACAGTCCGTGACTTTCCACAATTGTAGATCCCTTTAATCAATAATCAATAATCAATAACCGGTCAAAGAAGAAGTAACCCAAAATACGAAGCACCCACCACCCATGTATAGCGATCTCTCGCTTAAGATATTCTATAATCCCAGCCAAACTCCAACGCCTCAGAAGGTTTTTTCTTATCCGACATAAGCTCCCGTCAAAGTGCTTTGTGATTTCCCGGGAAAAAGATAAAACAGCCAAACTATAACTATATCTACTCCAGAACAATCTACTTAACCATAAATACAGCAACTTAACCTATTGCGACCCTTTAAGAGGAGAAATGTACTAGATTGATCTATTACCAGTTCAGTCGATAAGCTCATGAAGGAACTGATAAGAAATACCTATAAGCCATCTCTCCCCGTCAATAACCAGATCTCGCAGATCTTATGTCGCAGCTACCACCCCTGAATCGGGGACGATCTCTGCGAGAGTAAACTTAATTGGTTGCCATCCGGATTGAGGTTGTACAAGCCATTTCTTCATGTTAACAACCATGTGCAAGATCTGAAGTATTTCGCCTAAAGCAAGCTCCTTTAAGCACATTTTCTTAATAACTGTTGCTGCTTCAAACCTAGTGAAGGATCAAGTAAATAAGCAAGTTCAAAATTAGATCACATCAGCCAAGATACACATAAGGAATCATCTTCTGTCTTCTTCTTTTTTTTAAAAGGTAAAATAAAACCACACAAGGAAACATTTTTAGAGGACCTAACAAAGATAAAAATATGTTTGCCATAATCCTGATATGTTTAATTGGATTTTCAATTGGAAGAGCTTCACTTAAATAAGAACTTTAGAAACTTCCCCAAACATCCACCAAACATCCACAAAGGTTCAAACTAAATGAGAACCCATTACCTGCACTGAGTAGCGCTTATGGCGGCTCGTCCGGCAGAAGATGATAGAAATTTCTGGAGGTCATCCCATGCTTCTTTGGGATATTGTTTCATATTACCACCAATGGGATTCACACACCTCCATAGGTTCTCATTTTTACCAACATATAATTGCAGAGCACCTAAATTCCGTGTTACTACCAGCTGTTGTTCAACTGCACTCGCGAGAGCCTTCTTAACATCAGTATTGCGGTGTTTTGGATCTCCATATTTGATGCAATCAGAGATGTTTGCTTCAGTAGGCATAATCTTCTCAGTTTTAAGGGTGTTCAATGCAAGTAAAACGACTCCAATAAGGCCTTGAACATAATCAGAAGGTTTTGGGCATCCTGGAGCTCCCCACACACCATTGAGAGGTCCATTACTGCTATTTGCTATAGATGACGGTGGTGGAATCTCAGGGCTGGGATGTGGATACCTGTTTACCTCTTTTTCAACATAAAATGGTGTTTTCTTCTGCAAATTGTGTCCTTTATGAGGCCCATTTGTATTTGTATAAGAATTCTCGATGTTAGGAGGTTGTCTCGATTCTCCATTCCACGTTTGAGAAAAAGGACGATTATGACCATTATTGGAGTTTTCACTGACTTTTAGCTTACCCATATCAGGCATAGATATTTGAGGGCCTGAGGTGTAGCCAATTGCATCAGACCTAGGAGGCATTGAATGTGAATGATGCACATGCGAATTAGGTGGTAAGAAATTACCAGATGGAATTACCGGTGATACTGGGAGGTTGTTTGGCCTTCCTGGAGGATAATTGTTTTGATAATTGTTCTGTGAGTTGTTTCCATTCGTCCAGGATGGCTCAGGATTACCAGGAACACCGCTTGGTACAGGCCCACTGAAAGGAGTTCTTGAATTATGAGCTCCAGGTAACTCCACTGAATCATTGAACTGCTTAGGATATCCATATCCTGGTTGATGAAAGTTTGCAGCACTATGATTTTCTTGTGTGCCAGATGAAGTTCGTGATATATTGGGTTGATTCACACTTCTACGAACTGGTTTGCCCTTCTGCTTAATATCTGTACCCCTTCCCAAATTGTTAAACTTCATTTGCGGGTTTTCATGGAAAGTGTCAAGCTGGTTTATCAGACTGGAGTCACTAGACGACGTTGATAATGCATCTAAAGTGGGTAAAGAACCGTAGCTGCTATTTACAAGTTGACTTGATTCACTATTTGTGAGAGGAGGTCCTCCAGATGAAAGGCTTGTCCAGAGCCATACAGTCTTCGCAGCAGCAACAAGGGGAACAGAAGCTTTTTGAGGTTGTGCGAGAAGAATATTATATCTGCGCATGCGCAATTGATGAAGTGCGTTTGAAAAATCACGATCTCCCGAAATCAACAAATAGTTAGCAGGTGCAGGATTGTCAACTGCCCAGAATAACATGTCCACAAGAATCTTCTTATCACTTGCATCTTTGACACCTGTACACATTTGGACAAAAATTTGTCATGACGGAGTCCAAGCAGTTCTAAATAGATCTAATCACGCTACCATAAATGTTAAAAATAAGAATCCTGAATACACTGCTTTTCACTTGGTCTATACACTACCTTGAAGGGTTAGCTTAAGACTCGATTAAGATAAGAATTCTACTAAACATTAAAAGCGACCACATATCAGCTCCAAATTCTCACTTTTGTCCAAGGTTGTATAGCAGCATATGCCACCAGTATGGTCAAAAATCAACTCACATCCTCTCTCTCTCTCTCGCTCACTGTCTGACAATGAAAAGTAAATTTTCTTTCTCTTCCAAATCTTTCACAGAGAACTGATGAAGCTCAGCAAAAATTAGAGCCTTCCCATCACAGCCAACGAGACATGTTTTAATTTGTCTTCTGATTTGGAAGAAAATTCAAGTGATGGATGCACTAAATCTTTCCTCTGAGCAGTGGCGGAGGCAGGCTAGAAGGGCGGAATCATTTCAATCTCTTTGCACAAAAAGAAACTGAGATGACAAAGCGGATGCGCCTTGATTTCCACTGCTGCTTCTGAATTACCAACTTGCCATTGATAATTTTGAGGATCCTTCAACTTTTTTGCCCGATCGGCCGGCCAGAAAGCAAATTCAGTATCTTATTCTCCCAGTCTCAAATATATATGCTAATCTTCCCACTCTTTGGTGGAAGTTACAAGCTTCAAGTTAATATGACTTGGTGTTGAAGTTTTTTGTGTGCAATTCTTTCTAGAAGCTTTTAGGTCTAATCAAATTGAGAAACAAAAAGAGAGGTTCATGGTGGTAATTCCACCAGACTTTGAGGTTCAGAAGCTAGAAATGGTAAACGTATTATACAGTTTGGCAAAAGATTGCAGAGACTATCCTTTAACTATGGTGAAAATAGACTATCCTTTAATTACTGTAAAAAATATAGAAATTAGTAAAATATATCAGATCTATTAAATTATTAAGTAACCACGTGCAGGGGCAGATATAGAAGGTAGCGAGGGGGTTTGCTCCGCAAGAAGTTACACAGTATACATAAGGTATTTCGAAAAAAAAATTAAGTACATATATAGGTTTTGAACCTCCTAAAAATAAGATTAAAGGTTGGCTTAGTGATTGAGGGGGTTAAAAATTTAACTTAAGGTTCCAAGTTGAAATCTCAAGCACTACAATTTTTGTTTTTTCGAAACACTGAAAATACTGGACTCGACAGTAGACACACGTCATAATTTTAAACTAGAACTGAAGGAACTAGAGGGGGAGCCAAATCCAACTATATATACTTGAAAATGTTTTTAAAAAAACACATATATATACATAATCCACCCCATTGTCCGAACACGTGTTAAAAGAAACTTCCCGCCAAGAAGATTGAGCTCTTTTGCTTCACTCTCAATAGAGTCTTCTTTCCTACCTTCGGCGTTGATGAAAGGGACAGTTCCATAAAAGAGTATGGACTGTGCAGTAGTACTCACACCCGATTACTTAAAATCATGGATCTACCGCGGACCACTATTTTGATTTCTTCATGATCTAGAGAAAATGAGCTCTATAATTCCGAAACAAAAGATCAGCAACTCATAAAAGTTGAGTATGCGCTAAACAGATTCTTAAACACCCCATCTCTATCACTGATAGTGGGTTTGATGAGAAAATTAAAACAAATAAACACAATCAATACTTTTTTCCAAGTAACAATCCTTTGGTTGATGTTTAAATTGGAAAACATGGCTATTTTCACTGAAAAAAATGCAATTTTGCATCTGACTGAATTCGACCACAGAAAAATCAGATTTGCACTTGCATAGATTCAAAGGGTCAGCCTTGCTCTTAGACCATCAAAAACACTCCGTTGACTTATATATCAGCACAAACAAAACAATCATAAAGGCACAGTTCAATGAGATCTAACCGTTCCTGTCCAGTGACAGAAAAAACAACTGTTAAAACATAGATCGACTCAACCAAATATCAAATCAACTAAAAACAAGTCATTTTCATCCGAATTACACAGACTAACAAAGATGCAAACAGAAAAAAAGTGTGTCAACAAAAATTATACCTGCAGGAACGTGATTAAGGCCGATTCCAGTACTATTAAGCGCCTGCTGAACAGAAGAAGAGATCTTAGTTGTATCACCGTAAGCGGAAATAGAAACCGGTCCACAGTAGTTCATATTCACAAGCGCAGAACTTATATTCTGAGCGATCGCATGAGGATCAGATCCTCTAGGTACTTGACAGTTTTCTATATCCCACCATACCGAAATCCTCGCCGCCGAGTACAGCGACTCAGCCGCACCCGACGGCTGCGGTCCTCCCCCTCCACCGTTCCCGTTTCCCCCTGCACCACCCATTTCGAACGAGTTCCGTCGCCGGAGAAGAAATGGCGCACGATAGCGAATACCGATGTGTAAAATTTAGTCTTTTTATGTATGTCTGGTGCGTAAGGTTAGTTGAGGAGTGCGTAGGATTAGAAGAGGATATAGAGAGAGTGGAAGATATAGATGAGAGAGTGTTGGATTATAAAAGGGGGATTTTGATGAGTGGGGACTGCCGTAGTTGTGACGGGTGGAAGATTCATAAGGGGTTTGCGAAATGACTATTATGCCTTCCAATTTAATGGACAGAATGGTAAAATATGTTGTATAGCAGAATCGTGAGGAACGAGCTTGACTTCCATTGAGGAAAGTGCTGAGTTGGTGTCTCAAATTATGATTTAAAATAAATTAGTACTACATGAAAATAAGTTAAAGTTTTCTCTTTTCTATCTATTGAAAAAAATAACCACTAATATTCTATTTATAATTAAAGAAATCAAATCAAATTAGGATTAAAATTTTATTTCTAATTGAACTAGGATAAACAAAATTTAACTAGACATTAATTCCCTTAATTAAATAACAAATCCTGAACAACTTAGAATTTCAACACAAATTTAAATTATTATTCCAACAATATTTAATTATAATTATTTTATTAATAATTAAACAAAATATTTATTATTGTTTCACAAATTGGAATGGTATATACAGATTTTATCATTACATTGTATGAGGTGAATATGTTGTATTTTTTGTATAGCTCAAAGAAACATTTTCAAAATTTAAAATTAAATTATTATTATTATATATCTATATAATTATATATTTATTTCTTTTGAAATTGATTAAAAATGAAAAATATAATATAAAATGTGAGGAAGGAATTTATTTTCTCTTTTAATGCATTTACTATTTGATCATTGACTCTTCGTCTTCAACTACCATTTCAGTTTTTAAATATAATTTGTTTTTTTTCTATTCCAATATTACATGGATTGCCATGATTGGATCTCTCCACGTCATAATTTCTTTTCCTTTTTTGAAAAAAAAAAAGGAATAACAGTATGTTATAATGAAGAAAGTAAACAAAGAACTGATTATTTTGTACGTGATTTGAATTCATTACTTCATTAGGGAAAAAAAAAAAATTGCATTTGACGTTTACAGTAAATCATTAAATATGTGATGTAAGCTTTATAAATAGATTTATTACTTAATTATATTAGCAAATATATAATCCTATCATCTACATTTTTTAGCTGATAATACTATTAAATTAATATAAATAAATGTTTTACTTGTTTTATCAGTATATTTTATTACTTTGCTACATTTTTTTCATCCTCTATTATATATATCCTACTCTCTTCAGATTTATTTAACAAAACTATACTAATAAGCTATTGTGACTGAATTAATAAAAATACTATTTTATTATTAATTTTTTATTTGATATTCAATACTATTTCAAATAGACAAAGTGGTTTGACAAGGTATTCTATTTATTTGAAGTGTAGCATTCGAGTTTGATCATTGACTCTTGGTCTTGGAGTATCATCTACTCTTTAACTCTTGAATATGGACTTTTCAATTCTAACATAGTAATCTGTTATTGGATCTCTCAACCTCATAAATCTTTTTCCTTTATTTTTTTTTTGGTCATTGAATATTTTGTTTTATTTAACATATTCCTTTTATTTCTCTGATTATTTTTTAAAAATAAAATAAGAGAGTATCATTAATTTAATAAAATTAATTGACAAAGGATATCTAGAATTGAAACACAAATCTTAGTGATGCGTCGTAAAGTTATATCTATCGATATTTTAAAAATAAAATTGATGGTTTACTTAATACGAAATATAATACGGTAAATAGTGTGATTGATTAACATGTACGATTAACCTACCTATCGAAGCATAAATATAATACGAAAGAAAAAATGATATATCTATGTTTATAATATATTTTAATTTGAAAACTTAAAAGTAAAAACCTAAGAATACAACCATGGATTCTTTGCTTCATTAGTAAACCTGTATTATTGAATTTGCAAATATTTGATTCATTACTTGCCTTGTTCATGCAAGCCACATAACAAAAAGAGTTATACCTTCCCCCACCATCCTTTTTCTTTCTTTTTCACTTTATGAAAATAAATATGTTTTTTTCAAATATAAAAAAGTAAGTAGGAAGCATTGAGTTTACGGATTCAATCCCACCCAATCATAACCCGCATGGGAACAAAAGCCCAAGGTGAAGCCCAGTCCATGGAAGAGATTGGGCATCGGCCTATTTTGGGTGCTCAGCCCACTTTATGGGGGCTCTTCTGGCAACTTAGCACTTTGATTGTTGAGAGTAGAAACAATTATTTGAATAAGGTTTTAGGGTATAAAGTTCTAATAAAATACTTATATTTGTGGAATAGCCTATTAGTGATGATCATTTTATAAATCCTATTCACATGAACTTATATTTTTACTTCTTTTTTTTTTGTAAATTTAGGAGATCGTTGGAAATTGATGTGTGTCTGTGGTACTAATTTTTAAGAATATTTCACTTGATGTAAATACATAGGTCTGATGTTCCTATTCTCAAAACTCTATTTACTGCGCCACTAAAAAATGCATTTTCTCCGGATATATATGATTGATGGACAAAATTATGAAGATTCTATTGATGGATAGAATGCATGAATAATATAATGTGCTATAACACGTGCACTGCAATATTATACTACCATTTTTTCTATTATATTAAATGCATCTCCTAATTCTGCAATGATTTGTTGAGAACGAAACGTGTTCTCAAAATATAATAATATTCGAAGTTTACTTAGAAATAACATTTAAAACTTGAAGTATGAATTTCACCTCGAAAAGATATCAATTTGTAGGGAGAAAAATATTTTACTGGGAATTGGTCCTGATAAGTTTTTCAAACTATTTTTCAAGTTTGGATGAAAAACTAACATAACATACAATTAAATAAATATAATTTATTTATTTTTAAAAAAGAACTTGAAAATAATTATAAAAGAAATTATGTCCAAACGACCCAAAGTCATGATTAGGGGTGAAATACCATATAGAAGGCAAAAAAATTAGAGTAAATTTTAGGTTTAGCAAACATAAAAATCATATTTGTATGTTATAGCTATAGTTTGTATAATTGTGCTCCATAACAAACTTTAAGTTTGCCATGACTATTAATCTGTATATTTCGATATACATATACATAAAAAATTATATTTGTATATTTCGGCATACAAACTAAAACATAGTAATCGTATATAAACAAAATTACTATAAATATACAACGCATATGTATACTGAACGGGTCTATTTGTATATTTCGATATACAAATGGGTCTATTTGTATATTTTGGTATACAAATGTGATGACAAAATCATGGAATATTTGTTGTGAATTACAAATAAAAGAAATTATGGCTATAACATTTAATTTGAATTACTAATTTGCTATTTCATACAATATTTCCAAAAAATTTAACACCACAGTTTGAATATTATGATATTTGGCATGCATTTTAAAAGCTTGGTATGCAATGTGGTATTTGGTATTTATAAAAGAAAATATTAAATCGAATATCGTACAAAAATATATAGGTACATATAAAATTCATATATATATATATATAATATTAGTAAATATATAAAATAGTAGTAGTAACTAATTGTTTAGATGTTGAATTTCGACTACTCTATCTTGAAACAAAGAGACATGTTTGTACTTTATTTTGAATAATATTAGAGTATGATACAATTGAAATGTTTCTTAAAAAGTCAAAATCATAAATTTTTATTATGCGAATATATATGAGTTGAAGTTAGCCAAACTATAGTAACCAGTTTTTCCTACCCACAAAATATCAAAACCAAATTTTAAAATATCAAATTACCGAACCAAACATTACATACCATACCGTACTATACCATACCATTCTTACCTCTACCCACCCTAGTCATGATAGCTAAGGTCCATCTAACTAATTTGAATGAATAGTAGTAGTAATATATATTTTTTAAATTATCTTTAGTGGATATTAAATTATTAAAAAAGTGGTAGACAAATCAAATCGGAAAAGGAGTTTGCAAAGCGTAAATAATTGACTCACACTTGTAACCACAAAATTATTGTTTTGTGTCCATATTGATGCTATTGAACCACTTCGCTCTCACTAGAGCAACTACTGGAAATCTTCTGGTATAAAGATTCTGGGAAATCTTTATACATTTTGTCATGTGTTCATTCCATTTTGCAAAGCTACAAACACTTATTTCGAAATATATATATATATATATATATTTATTGAAAAATTAAGTGTTTGACAAATCAATAAAAATACTTTTAAATGAAAGTAAAAGTTGATTTTCTGTTGTTGGGAAGAAGTTAATAATTTATGTCTTAAAAAAAAAAACATAGAAGCAGAAACAAAAAATCATTTTTCTCAAGACTATTTTTTTTTCTGTATATAAATATTTACCAATATGTTTCTTATTAATTAATCAACACATTTAATAAGTTTGGTTAAATTTCATTTATGAATTTTATTATTTATTTTTGTATTATAAATTTTAGGATTTATTTTACGTTTGTATATTATTAATTTATATATTATATATTATTTTACGTATTATTTTGCAGAATTAGAAAAAAAAATCTACCAACAATAATTTTACAAGATTAGAAAAAAGAAAAAAAAAATAATTAAATATTTCAGCCTCCCCAAAAAGATATAATATTGATTGAAAATTTAAACATGTACATTTTAATTTAGTAAAAACAAAAATTAACATAATTTTTTATAGTAGATATTTAAAATAGTTTCTCTCTATAAAATAATTTTAATATTAGAAGTACATTAATAATTGTCTTTTTTTGTAATTTGACTATGAAAAACACCTTTTTAAAAAAGATCAACCAACCACATTTTGCTTAAGAAAAACACTTTTTTAATTAATTCAAACACAATTTTTTTTTTTGAGTACTTTCTTGAAAAGTCATTTTAAATATGTGATTCTAAGACTAAACAATTTTTTAGCATCAATGCCAAACAAGTTCCAAGTATGTGACAAAAACTGAATGTGCTATAATCTTTTTAAACAAAAAACTAATTAATACTAAACCTTCGACATTAATTTTATATTCTCTCCATTTTAATTAGCTCGATCGAGCTTGACCTGGTACTTTCTTGTGTCGAGTTTCATTTTTTAATGTCAATAGTGAGATAAATAGAATATTAAACAAGCTAACAAATTAAATTAAAATGAGTATACCTATGGCTCTAGCGTGTGACACAAATAATAAGGCAAGCAATCAATACGTAGTAAGTTAGAGAAGGCCACACATGATTCACGGAAAGTTGAGAGTTTGTTTCCTCTTCTGATATACAGTATTGACATTAATAATCATCTTAAATAAACCATTCATGAATTCAATTTCAGTTTTTTTTTAAAAATAATGATAGTATTTGAAAAAAATAATTATATTTTGATTATTTCATGAAATACTTATTGTTTTTATTATTATATTGATGAAAACATCTTTAAAAATATATATTTATAATGCTAGTTTGTCTGGGAGCAATCATATATCTTTAAAATTTCATAATGCCTTTTTTGTCTATCTTTTCAAAAAATATAAGTCGTGCTTATTTATAATGCTCGCACATCATAATATATTATGCCCCATTAGTTCTGAAGTTGTATTAGAAATTTTCATATTGAAGGTAATATATATATATATATATATATAAAGGTAACCTCATAATTTTTAAGTTTAAACACGAAGTATTTGATAAAAGATAAAATAAAAGAAAATAAAATATACATGTCAGGATTTATTGTATTTGATACGAAATATATGATAAAAGATAAAATGTTGATGTAAAAGATCTACTACTTTAATTTCTGTTTCAAAAATAGATAATTTTGTATCCAACTGTATAAAGGCGGACGCAGATCTATGATACCATAAATATAATAAATCTAACATATGCACTTAATATTTTAATTTTTACATTAAAATGCATCAACAATTGTTTGTTTTCTTGGAATATAAACAAAATATATTTTTGTAATGAAAAAAGAAGAAAAAGATAAAGTTTTGTCCGTAGAAAAGTTCATGGCCAGGTAACTTCATAGTATCTTAAATACGAGGTATCTTATTAAGATTAAAAGATCAATAATATTTTTTCTTAAAATACATATTTATATTTTCGTAAAGAAGAAAGAGAGGAACTCATTTGCCATAGAAAAGTTCACTGCAAATGATTAATTATCTAATCTTGATGAAGACATTCCATGATTTTTTTGCCTTTTTTATTTAAATTAAATTGGTCCATAGTTTATTGTTGTAAATAATGTGAAATCAATTCATTTCCATTTTTGCTTTATAATATGTTAGTATTTAATTTAAATTTTACCAATAAATTAATTCCTTCATTCAAATCTTGACTATTTTCTAATTCCTCCTTTTTCCAAAATTCAGGATTTCTTGTCTTACTCTACTTGAGCATAGTCAAACAAATCTCTGACAGGATGTAAATTATTTTCCTAAATAAACTTGATTATTTTCACATCTAATTGCATGTGAAAATAATCAAGATTTTTCTTTTAATAATTATTTAGATCAATCTGACAGTTGCAAATAACTCACCCCACGTGGAGAGATCTCGTCCCTTGATGAAAATTTTCAGATTTGCCGCGCTGAGGTCATTTTATGTCCAGGTTCGAAATTTGTCCTTTGTCCCAAAACCCGAGGCTCGTAAAACCCGAACCTATACCTATTTCCAAACCAGAATACTATCTGTCAAGTCGATAAACCGAACCTCTAGTTCAAATTCCGAACCTCCACATCACCTTCATCTCTCTTTGTCTCTGTTTAGACAATAGACATATCAGTGAATCTCAGCTTCCCTTATTCACTGCTCTATTAAATTCTCCCACCCACCCACCCCCCAAAATCACTTCACTCATCCTCTCATTTCTTCCTCCGCCGTCCGATCCTTCAACTCAGATCAATCGTCGCCGGTAAATCCCCCATCATACATATATATATATATATATATATATATATATGTATTTTAATTTTTGGTGTTATTAGCATCATCAGTTTTTTGTTTTTTTTTCCTAAATCTCTGCAATTAGATTTGAACGCATTTCTCGTGATTTTCTACTCTTTCGCTGATCAGGTGTTCATGCATGTTTGTCTCTGTGTGTGTTTATGGGTAAAAATGATTAGTGCTATTTTTTTAGCTGTGTGGGAAGCGTGTTTCTTAATTGTTCCTTAGAAGTGTAAGAGTCGTGTGGAATAAACCTCCATTTGACTGTCAACTTGCTCCTCTCTCTCTCTCTCTCTTTCATTTTCAAAACACTGATCTGTCTTTTTTTTCTCTCTCCATATTGAAATTGATTCATGAAATATTAAGAACCATATAAAAAATTTGAATTTTGAAGTATTATAACGCATTATCTTACATTTATAATAATTCTGTTTCCATTATTGCTCTTGGATTATCAATAAATTGAAAATTCTGAAATTTGGGTCAGCGACTTAAATGCTACCCTACGTATTCACATGCAAAGTGTGCTTGGTTGTTAGCTTTAATTACGGAGGTCATAGGAAGAAGCAACTAAGTTTTTTTTTTCCTTTTTGGGATTTATAAGCTTCACAGGTGAATCATCGGATATAGTAGCAGAAACAACAGTTCATCCTGGATTTGTAGTTGTCTGGAGTTTTACGGTGATGTCGGTGGAAGAACGGCCGTCGACTTTAGTGGTGGATCCGTTGTTGAAGGATCTGAGTGAGAAGAAGCAGAATTTCCGGCGAAACGTGGTGTCGCTTGCGGCGGAGCTCAAGGAGGTTCGCAGCCGTCTTGCTTATCAAGAACAGTCGTTTGTTCGTGAAACCCTAACCAGACAGGTCAAATTGAGTTTTGATTTATGAGTGTTTGATATTTTTTTTTTTTAAAAAAACTTTTTGTCTTTTCCTATGTGAAGCAGGTGGAAGTGTGGGTCAGGTGATTCTTGGACTTGGTCTGATTATTGTGTGTTTATTGTTTTTTATTTACAGGAAGCAGAGAGTAAAGCTAAGAAAATGGAAGAAGAGATAAACAAATTGCAGAAGAATTTGGAGGAAAAGAATGGAGAGCTTCAATTTTCAGCTTTAAACACTGAGAAGGTATTTGTCACGAGTGTCATTTCTTGAAAATTTATGTATTTTTGGTTTGATTTGAGAGTAGTTTAGTGGGTTTAGATGAGGAATAAGTTGGGCTCCAAGATCTTGTGTGTGGGGCATTTGGGTTAATTTGCAATTACTAAAAGAAAAGGTACTTGAAAGACATATTATGATGAATATCTTTTGAGGCTACTTTCTGGCATTTCTTGTTTGTCCTTTTTGGGAAATAGTATTGAGGATTGAAGAATTAATAGAAGATTATTGTCTCTAGTAGTTCAACCTGAGTATAGTGGTCCAACAAACTTTGTCTGTGTTTTGAATTGGGTCGAAAATTTTGTTTCTTTTAGCTGAGTTAGTGAGATAAAGAGGAATCTTGGATGATTTACCATTTAATAAATCAAACTACTTTTTGGATTCACTTGTTAGTGGCTTTTAGATGGGTAGCACTTGGTTTTAAACATCACTTTCTACCCCTTTGTTGTGCATTTATAATTAAAAAAATATATCTATTAGTTTTAGGATTGAGGTTTTTTTAAGGTAGTGCTAAAACTGTCTTTTGTGAGAGTCACGTTCTCTTGGTATTAGCTATCTTGAGATACCTTTGATATTGAGGCATATATCATTGCTCCAACTCTGAATATTCTGGCATTGAGAGTTGTCCTCAGATTGTTGAAGAAACGATTAGTTGGATATAACATGGTGCCTGGCCGATTCAAATAAAATGTGCTCGAATGAGCATCTTAGGTAGCAATTCAAGGCGACTTATTTTAGTCAATTATGTGTGATAAAGTAATTTATATATATGACTGGGACAACCTGAATATCTGTGGTTGATTCATATTTTTGACACCATATCGGTGTGTTAGGAATGAGTGATTTGAGTTGATAAAAAAGATGTCTAATAACGGTAAATGTATGATGATACATCTGCTTTAAGTAGATTCAAGTTAACTTAAAGGAAATTAGTGCGACTTAACACATAATGGAAGTACTTAAACTCATAAAGTTTGACTGAAAAAGTTACAAACTCCAAATCTGAATAATAATACAGTATCCCTTATTAATCCAATTCCTTTTAAACCCTTCACTTATTTTTATTTTTTTTAAGATTGAATTGAAAAGTTTTTTATTTTGTAAAAAATATCTTCTCCTCTGGTTAATTTAAGATGCATACTAATTGTTCAGTTGTGTGCGACTTTTTCCTTTAATATCTATAAACATGCATCATTACAATAAGAATGGTTTCCTAGGATATTGGTATGCATTTTAATAGCATCTGGTCTGAATGTTATTCAGTATGTCAAGCAGTTGGATGACCTCAAATCACAACTTTCTGCTACTCAAGCAACTGCAGATGCAAGTGCTGCATCAGCTGAATCTGCACAGCTTCAGTGTTTGGTGCTTTTGAAAGAGTTGGATGAGAAAAACAGCTCACTGAAGGAACATGAAGTTCGTGTAAATAAACTTGGTGAGCAATTAGATCTTTTGCAGAAGGATCTTCAAGCAAGAGAATCATCCCAAAGGCAATTGAAAGATGAAGTAGTGAGAATCGAGCATGATATCATGCAAGCATTAGCAAAATCTGGAGCAAACACAGATTGTGAACTGAGGAAGGTCTTAGATGAGGTCTCTCCAAAGAACATTGAGAAGATGAACAAGCTGTTGACTAACAAAGATGAAGAACTTGCCAAACTCAGGGACGAAATCAGGATCATGTCTGCCCACTGGAAGCTAAAAACCAAGGAGTTGGAATCTCAGGTTTGGTACATACTTTCCCATCGCTCTCTAAATTCTATGATACTTTATGAGTGATTTTTCCTCACGATTTTCAACCTCTTTCCTGGACAGTTGGAAAAGCATCGTAGGGCTGATCAAGAGTTGAAAAAGAGGATTATGAAGTTGGAATTCTGTCTCCAAGAGACTCGAACGCAAACTCGCAAGCTTCAAAGGGTAATTCTACTCTTTACTACTACTACATTGATTAAATTATGCCTGATACAGTAAACCTAATGCCATTCATGCTAACATAAATTGCAGATGGGGGAACGACGTGACAAAGCTATTAAGGAACTGAGAGACCAATTATCAACTAAGCAAGTCGGAACTTCAAGCAACAATAATCAGAACTTCTGGGATACCTCAGGATTCAAGGTTGTCGTTTCAATGTCGATGTTGATGTTAGTCCTCTTTTCTAAGCGGTAATACTTACCATTAGTATAGTTGACAATGTAAAAAGGAGAAGTGTAGCTAGTTACAACTTAGAAGAGAGATTAGGAAAAGCTGTAGAGCTACTGTTTCATACATTAGAATGTTAATCATACTATATGGGGGCCTATCTTTTTGTACCTTAAGGGCATCACAACTGAATCCAACATCTCGATGTTCAATTATTAGATATATATACATGCGTTTAACTTAACGTTATATAATCATGTTTTCAAAATGTATCGTTGAAACTCCAATCTGAAGGGCCCAGTTGCATTATTTTCTTGTCCTAGTGAGGAAGCCTAGTTTTCTGATTTTAATTATTGAATGTGTCAAAAATTCGAATCAGCATCCTATGTCATAGATGTATTGACAATTTGGGAAACTCTATCTTCGTAGCTTTTTTAAGATAATTTTCTACTACCTAGAATTTCTAGACTAAACACGTATATATTCTTTAATTAGTTTAGTTTTTTGTATGCTGATCTAAGCCCCCTAAGATCATCATAGCGTGTATTTCTCTGGTTAATTTTTTTAAATCTTATTTACTTCATGCTTGTTGGTTAATTGAGGTTTGTTACCTCATTAGGATTGGTAAGGTAATATTGACAAATTGCCCTTTGATTAATGGCTTTAATTTTTTTTTTTTAAGGTTATGATCCATCCAATAATGCCATTATATGGGAGAAGAGGGAGTATAGAAATTATAAATATAAATCATTGTTTATTAATCATGTAGGGCGTTGAAGAAACACGTAATTGCGCTAGTGCATGGCGCTCATTGATTAATCAACTTAAAGTGACCATCAATACACCACTCTGAAATAAATATAGAAAAATAGGACATCGTCAGCCCCTTTCATGTTCTTCTAAAAATTTCTCTTCTTTTCTTTTGATGTTGATGGCTGTAAAATGCTTTTGACTTTGATCTACATGGCTGTACCCAACTTAATTCCTATGAAGGAACAAAAGGCATGCATATAAAAAAATGATTTATGCATTTAGGGGTCGTTTGATTTGAAAAAAAGTAATGCTCAGATTAATTATATATTATTTCTGAGAAGAAATTGTTTGATTACAAAAATACCGCCACCTTAATTAGAAAAAAAATAAAAATTGAACAGAAGTAGCTTTGTCATTTTTCAATATTTATTCAGGTAGTAATTACTAATCTTGATATAACTTATCTCATAATTACTAACCAAACAATGAATAAGACAATTAAATCTGTCTCCAGACTATCTATATTTATCCAACATATCAAACCTTAATTTAATTGGAAACATAGACCTAAGTCTATTTATAGTAAGTAATAACCAGCTACAACTGATGATATGAGATCTAAGATCCTTCATAAGCAGGGAAATATATAATATAGCAGTGTAACATCAGGCCAATTGAACATATATGGGATAATTAAGAATTACTACGTCAAAGTGATAGATATAGATAATGGCCTCTAAAATTAATATATGAATTTTACATCTAGGTAGTGGATATGCAGGATATATCAACTATACTAAAGCAGTGTATAGGTGTGTAATGTCTAAACCTCTGAGAATACTCCTAACTGCTTCCATTTTTTCCTCCACGAGAACTGTACATTGTTTTGAAACCGAAAATCCAGTTTCTCACTTGACAATTGAGCTTCTCTTTTCCTCAAAACTCCAAGACCAGCTTACTAGTCGCGATGGAGGCGACTAGAACGATGCAGCCAACTAGGGGTTGCAATTCATTTGACATGGACAGTGAAGTAGTACTAGTCGGAGGAATACTATCACCGATGCCCGAGGGCATCATTCCAAAACCAGAGTCGTTACCATTCGTCACTGTTGGAGGTGCTAAGCTGCGAAAATTACAGTTCACAAAGTTAGTGAAAAGCATATCGATTACTTCATCCATTTTATATGACAATTCAAAAAGAAAGACACGTTTCTATATGCAGGTCTTTTTTCATTTCTTTAACTCCTTGCCTAGAAACACATAACCACAGGAAATGCAACGAAGAGGGTATTATTAGATTGATGGAGAGAATGAAAATTCCCCTTACCCTGGTATTGCTGCACCTGTTGATGAGGATGTTGTTGGAACTGGAGTTCCAGACATTGGCGTGGTAGTTGTTGCAGGCGATGACAAAGAAGACCCCGATGCAGGGAAAACACAAGAGCCACTGCCTGTATGTCAGCATGTAAAGGATCAGAAAACAATAAGATGCTGGTTTATAACGGCAAGGTAGGTCAATAAAGAATCCTTCTTTGCTTACTTGGGTTTGAGTTGGTTATCATGGCAGCACCCCCAAAATCACAGCTCGTTTGTGCAGGATTCTTTTGAAAGTAGCTATTGAAGGCATAGGATGCATGACCTTCCAGACTATTGGGATTATAACAACTTCCACCCTGCTGGATGGCTGAGCAATCTGCTCCCATCCCACAAGCATAATCAAGCGCCGACTGAAGTGAAGTGTCTCCAGCTCCATTCTTTGCAACACACCAGCTCTGCCCTCCAGTAGCAGGAGCATTTGTGGTTGCAGGAGGCGTTACCGGGGTGGTGGCAGGGACACCCCCTACAGGATTTGGGTTCGTTGTTACAGGATTACTTACGGGTGTACTTGTGCTGGGGGTGGTAACTGGATTAGTTAGTGGTACTGGAGGATTGGGGTTCGGGTCAGTCACAGGGGTCGTAGAAGGAGCTGCTGGAGGTATAGACCCAAAATTTGGAATTCCAAGGTTAGGATTTGTGGACGGGACAGTAACAACTGTTGGAGCTGAGTTATCTGGAGGCATATTAGATGGAGTTGTGACAGGATTTACTATAGGGGTTGTAGGAAATCCCGTTGTTGCTGGTGGATCCATCAAGTCATGTTTAATTGCTCTAATGGGTAACAACTCAAGCAGTCCTTTCCCGAACATATGATATTTTTGTTCCTTTTCCCTTTCAAGCTCTCTGTGCTCAATTCTTTTAGCTGGGGATAATCCTGCAAAGAACATTATTAGATTTTTAACTTGTTTTGCCATATTTTAACTTAAACGTTTCTCAACTCTTATAACATCAAATCTCAACCAATGCAGCCCCGTTTTTCAAGTGGACATGATAAATCTAGCATGCTCAGTTGACCGTAAACGTCTTTTCTGATGATAAATCCCAGTTCTTCATGAACATTTCTAGAATAAGATGACAGTCTTATCTCTAGCATAAGCTTTGCTTTACCACCCTAGTGAATGATGTAAACTAAGCTCAAATAAACCATTTGCTCCATTTTATCAAAGGTCACCTTTCCACACAAATATTGAAAACCTAGGGCTTAAGGATTCTATTGAAAAACAGGAAAAAAGCAAATCTTTTCTGGGGGAAAAAGATCTAGTCTAAAAATGATAGAGCTAAAATGGGGAAAATGCATTTCAGAATCTTGAACATAAACAGCAGCAAAAATCAAGAAACTTGAGCTTAACCAACATCTAGACCCCATTCTTGTAAAATATAGGAACACTAAACAGAAACATACTACAAATTCCAAATCTTAAACTTGGACAAAGAAAACAGTAGTAACATAATAACAAAAATCAGCAAAAACAAGAATCTTGCTTTTAACCAACATTCAAACCCCATTCATAAGGAAATACTCAAAAAAAAAACAAAAAACTACACTTACCAGAAATGCAGGCAAGAAGAATAAACAAGAAGAATAAGAAGATGAATTTTGAAGCTCCTCTAGTCATTATAGTGTTGGGCATTTTTCTTCAATGTGTTGTTACTTGAGAAAGAGACCCCAATAGAACTATAATAGGAATTAAGTATATAATGTGCTTCTTTAAACATAGAATGAAAAAAGTTGTACCATTTAAATAGCAAAAGGGAGAAAGGGGCAGAAAAAGAAGAAGGGATGAGTAGGAGATAAACAATGGTGGGGTAGGACATAAAAGTTAAAAAGAAACGAATATATATTAACTTTCTAGTGTATATGTCATAATAACATAGGAAGAAAAAAAAAAGTGATTACTTTGTGCTGAAGAAAATATTGAAAATAGTTTTTTTGCTTCTCTACTATGGTAAAGCATAAAATATTTTTCAAATTTCTGAAAGATTGAGTTCATACTAAAACAAAAAAAGTAACACTTGGCAAATTGCAGACAAATGCTACATGCATGTTGAAAGCAAAGGGTGGAAACCTTATCTTTGAATGGGGCAAAGGATCATTATGCTGCCTCATTTTGTTTTTGTAACAATAAAATAATCGAGATGCGGACAAATGGATCATAAAATATTATTATGTGGAATATATATATATAAATTAAAGGGGTGGGGTGGGGTGGGGTAGAGGGTCCTTGACAGTGGTCGGTGGAGCTATGTTTTAGAGTTTAGAAAAGGATGGGAGTGAGTGAGACCAGGAGATACACGATATTCTAATTTGATGCAACTCACACTCTTTCTCCCCAGATTCACTGCATCATTTATTTGGTATACGATTATCGAGGTATGAATTTTTATTCAACGTGTTTTTATAATTCAAATTAATGATATCTTGATCATATGACAATAACTTTATATCAGTTAGGTCGAAACTATATATTTAATTTATATATAAAAGTTTAAAAACTGGAAAGTTAATTAATGCTAATTTTAGAATGTAACTGTAACTGTTGGGAAAGGTGACAAAGTGGTAGGATATAGATACAAAAAAGGAAATGGGACTGAAAATGGGTTGAAAGGGAAGATATATTTGAATCTAGGAAGGATTTTTAACATAGTTTAAAATTTAAAATAAAAGTGGGGGACGACAAAATACTTTTTTGGGTAATTAAAGTTTCTCTTTTAGAAAGTAAAAAAACAACTTAATTTGGACAATCATTTGGTATTGAGGGAGTGATAAAACCAAGAACCAAGGGGTAGAGTGTAATCAATTTTCTCATCTTGGAATTAAATCCAAACGTTAGGACTAGACTTTACTCTTTCAAATTCATTTTAATTCAGGACATAAATAGTGAGTAATATAAGCATGAATTTGCTCCTATTGATACCTTCTCCTCTTTTACTTGAAAGTCGTAGTAATCGTACACATGCCAATTAATTTCATTTGATTTGAAACCTCATGATTCTTAGTTATTTTATTGATCACTAGGCCACACCCTTAAATCCTAGTGTCGAATTCATGTTTATTTTACATTATTTTTCAACACAATATTAGCATATTATATTTTAAAATGTACTTGAATACCCCTTGAAGTTATCTTGGTCGTTAACAAAAACAAGAAGCAAGTTAGGATAAACTGTAGTCCAAGTCTACATAAAGGAGGCTATGTACAATAGTATCGTGGGATGCCCCTGTCCAGATTCATTTTGATCACCTCAAAATCCACATTCTGCTTTGCAAAAGGAAAAGTTAAATTACATGCAAATAAAAAAAGAAAAAGAGGTGGCTATGAAATGTCAATTTTATTTTAATTTTAAAATGGTCAAAGATAATATCAGATTTATGTTTTGGAGGAAGTGGAGCTGCTGACACTTTCTGTTTGCCTTTTTATCTGTTAGTCCTTTTCTTGGCAAAGCAAACGACTATGTTTTTCAATTTCTCCTCATATACAGTTACTTATTAAACATTTATCCACACAAAAGTGCACCAAACATTAAGCAGCACCATCTTATATTTTTTTTGGTTTAATCATGTATATGCGTTATTCGAAGCTTATCGACCCCATTAATTTAGATTCGTGTAGGACATTACCACTAAAGGGGTAAAGCACTCATCAGTCATCACCAAAAAGTTTTATGCATATTTCCCAAGTTTCAACCTGATTTTTTTTTATTAAAAATGATGAAATGTGAACCATCTCGCGGCACCCTTAGTTGGTCAGCATCATGTTATATAAAAGACTTACTGACCGAAGTTAGGATCACCTCTTTATAGTTGTAGATAAGCACTGAAAGTGAGAGAAGTTAGGCAATGGGGACCTACTTTAGTAGAGGAACTAATCTCAGAAAATCTGACCAAAAAATTTCCATCACTAACAAAGAGAGGATTGGAACCCTACCGCTAGACTTCGTGAGCTAGGCTTTTAGAGATGAGGCCTTTTGGCGAACCAAAGTCAATTTTGGACCACTTGGATCTCGTTTTCATCCTACTAATTCTATAGGGGAAAAGTGAAGTTCAAAATTAGCTATAGCATGAGGCAGGCTTAAGAGCATCAAACAATTATAAGGTCATTCTCTCCTCCTATATATTAACTAATTTATTTTTTATGCCTATGTGAAAGAAATAAAATATGATAATCAAGAATTAGTGCATTTGCTTTAGGTTCATTGGACTATAATTTATAGTCCAGAAATACATGTGCTGGGTTGGGTTTCCTTTAACAAAAAAAAAGAAGATGCTTTATGATCATGCAACCATCATCAACAAAGGTTCGGCTTCTCTTTTTGCTCAAGTTGTTTGGATATTAAAATATGAATTTTGCATAGAAAACTTGAATCCTTTAAAATGTATTATGTCAAATCAAAGGGATCCATTCCCATGTGAGCTAATATGTAATCTGAGTCATCCGACAGCTGAAAAGATTTGATCAGCCCATCTAAATTCAATAAACAAATTTCTCTGTTCACTCTTTTTACAAAAAGGAAAGATAAAAAAGCAACAACCAATACAAACATTCTACTTGCTTTTTCTTTGTATTGCTTTCCAATTTGATATTGTAACCAATAGATCGGCACAAGTGTTATAGTCAATTAAAGAAAATTTCGAGATAAGTGATATAAGTGTTTGTGTTATAGATAAGGGTAAAGTCAAGATAAGTGTGCAGTTATAAAATTGTTAGTGATTTATAAATTTCAAGTTTGAACTTTGTGACTGCTGATACAATTTGCCATAAAGAGAAGAATTACAATAGATTTCTTGTCAAGCACACAGGCATTAATAAAATATATGTTAGAACCACTAAAGTTTTGGGGGGAAAAGATGATAGGCATTGTCTACGACTACATGAGCTGTATGTCCACTTCTTCTGGAACACAGCACGAGGAGTTTATGGTTTAGTGGATAGAAAGGTTACTAATTAAGTTGATAATTTGGTACAGTTGATGTTTGGCTGGTCACTGCAGATGCTAAAGGGAAATGGTTTTTCTTCTTTTGATAACAATAGTGTCTAGCAAATAACTATGCCATCAAGGTTTAGATAGTTTGACAAATTTGGCAAGCACACATATATGCTTATCATATCCCAACTACTAACATTACATTTATAATCCAAAATATGATACAGAAAAAAATTTAAATAAATGAAGACAAGAAGTAAAGGAAAGGAAGCGACATTCCTGTTTCTAGTGCTTTGTCATGGGAAACCAAGTTGGTTTCTTGATACAAAAACCTCATATAGAAAGTGCACTTTCAGATTCCTGGAAGAATAGCATAGTCACAGCAAATATCTTAGTTTCTTGAGGGATTTTTGCCAATCAATGCTGGAGGTTAATGATTAAGTCAGAAAAGAAAGCATCCGATGTTGCTTCTCTTGCGGAACCATAGCTATTCAGACGCTTTTTCAGAGAACGTAGCTCCCTCTCATCTTTGGAGCTGCTTTCCTGCAACAGTTTCAAAGAGTTAGGCCACTTAACTTTGAACCAAAAAGAATATTTTATGAGCTTGATTTGCATCCCCAATTATCAGATATCAGACAAATGATAGTAATAGAAGGAGATTAACCAATTTGTTTGATTTTGTTTTTCATTTTTCTGTTTTGAAGAGGATAGAACTACATGGTCAAAATCAACTAATAGAATGTCAAACTGCATGCAGCTGAAATTACAGCAACTACACGCACATATAGCAGCCAAACATAGCAGCATATATTAGGAAAAGAAAGCCAATTGCATAGAATGAGGACATACCCCATCCATAATACTATACAGTTTCAATGAGGTGGTATAAACGGATAATATGGAATCAACGTTGCTGTAGAATACTCACGTATGATTTCTTTAGCAGCAGTATGTCAACCAAGTATTGTAGCCATAGCACATTTGTCTTGGGGAAACTGTCGCCACAAATAAATAAAAAGCAAAAAGGTCAGTATCTGTAGACAAATAATCCAGTCACTACAGCCTTCGTGATTTTGCGTGACAAAGATACTTCTTAGCTGCTAGAGAGCTTAGAGGTCTCAAATTCAGCCACACCATAATGAAAAGCTACTTCATTTATCAGTGTTATAACAAAAAAACAGACCACAGTGTTATGACAAAAACAAGCATGACCCTTCGTTGGCAGTCTAAACTCTTAACGCATACAAATGCTATGGTACTAGAACTTTTTATGGATTTGTGCTTCTGAATCTGGACCAGAATTTCCATGGATAGTAAGACATGAAACACCATTAAACAGGAAACCCTTCCGCTCTGATGGTTTCCAACTTTATGTAATTTAGAAAATCGGACAACTTTAGTGTGTGCCAGTGGTCATAGCAAAAGCTAGCTGATTACAGAGACAAAAGAACTTACACCGTTGTAATTTTGGTTCAATTCAAATTCTCTGATAGCAGGTTACACAAAATAGGATGTTAATTTAGTGGTGAATTCCAAACATCCAACGTCCGAACACAGTTTTAGACTGAAGAATCCACAATTTGTTACGCCAAAGCGAAAGGCAAAGGCAATTTGCTACCTCTGAAACAATTTGTTACTTGCAAGTGAAGGGGCTAGTATTTATACCTTCCTTCCCAAAATTCGCCTGTGACATCTCTCATTTTCCTGTATGTATCAGACTGCAAACATGCCAAAAAATTATGAAATACAAATATGTATCAAAACACCTGAGATACATGGGACTTCTTTGGCTTCATACCTGTTTATCTCCTTTTGGACCTTCAAAGAGTTCGGGGTCTGATGACAGGTCCAGAAAAAGTATGTCTTCGCCTGTGATCAGTATGTATTTACAGGGATAAGAATCTCAAACCAATCAAGTACAGGATTGTGAAGGGAGAAACAGAAAGGGTGAACACCTGTATTTATCCTGGAAAGAGTGAAGTCAATTATTGAAACCAATAATCCATATGTTCTGACGTGTATTTCATTTCCCTCAAGAGTAAATTGCACTGTATCTAACCCTTTCCGACTTAGTAGAATATTTCCCCTGTTATAGGAAAATTGTTACGCACAGAAAAGCATTGTCCCACTCTAGATTGTAAAACATGTTGAAACAAATCATGGCATGGAAAAACGAACCAGTGCAAATCGCGATGCTCAAATTCATATGCAGCCTCAGTTACAGCCAAAGCAAGAGTTACCTGGAATTCAGATTTTGCAGTCAAGATAATGAATGAGATATTAGGTTGACAATGCCAAAAGAAAAATATTAAATCACTTGCCTGGGACAATAAACTCCTGGCTTCGTCAAAGTTTAACAGCACAAAACTTTCAAGATCTTTTCCTCCATGTTCTTGAACGAACACAACATAGCACTAGAAGGTATGTAATGGTTTAGTTAGTGACACTTAAAAATTCTCGAAGTAATTTCCTCTAGCTGCAACAAAAGTACCAATCTATCTACACACAAATCCACTCAAACAACAGATGAACAATGGGAGGCAACTATTGGCAATTAGGAAAGAAGAAGTAAATTTGCTTTGCTAGGAACCTGCTTTTCTGGAAATTCCTTAGGATGGTCATTTTCTGAACCATGCTTCCCATCCCAGTCTTCCCATGCTTTTAATAGGGATGCATCATAATGGCCTTGGCACACCCTCATGCTGCAGACAGGTAAAACCAATTGTACACAAGTGGTCAACGATTAGTTTTCTCTTATTCTAAGAAATAGTATACAATGGAGAGTGCAAATAACAGCATGCAGGAGAAGCTTCAATTTCATCAGTCATTAGAGGTGACAGTTATATAAGGATGCCTATTTCAAGACTTATTACTGATAAGGTTTCTACAAAACTGTTTCTCATTAGGTAGCTGAGGTAGTAGTTCACATGAACAGATTCTGAGGTTACACATAAGTTTAAACCAAACAGGAAGATTGATCAGATAAGACCTTTAGACGTTCCTAAACATAGCTTTTGTCTTGAAACAGAGGTTCAGAAGAAGACCAAAAAGTTGCAAATTTGCTTTAAGACTAATATGTGAAACTTACTCCATTGTCTGTATAAAGGTGGAACAGGAGTTCAGGAGATGACCCTCATGAGCTCTTAAGCTATTAAGGGTGCCAGAGAGTATGACTTCCTCAAGTAGCTCTTCTGATTTCTGAAATGTATCAGTACACAGATTCCAAATCAGAGTGACTTAAATATTTTCAGAAGATCAGTTTGTTGATCCTATGATCATCCACTACACTAACTTAAGTTTGCTGATGCAAGTTACTTAGGTCATATTTCAATTTAATGGAATTGGAGCCTATTCAATTGCACAAGAAATTAATTGAACGGGATACCTTTTGTAATTCTCCATTTACTCGGAAATCTCCATCGAATGGGACAATTTTGCAGACATTTTCGCCAACCTTAAATGCCTCCCCAAATGTGCCTTCTCCAACCTTGGCAATTGTTTGCGTCTCACTGAGTACAATTTTGCAAAATTAGATGCTTTGAGAAGTTAAGATTAAAGCAAGATCAGACTGAATTAAGTCTACTGCCAACAAAAATATGAAATTGATTTTTTCGTGAAAGTGAATGGATACTGATTGATAAGGTCAACTTTTACCTAGTATTAACTAAACAACCATTCAGATGTAGTTCAAAGCTAAGGATCATGCGCACCAAAAGAGAGCCCTAAGTACAGTCAAGGGAATCCACGTCGATATTCATCTGTCTTGTGTACATGGTTCAAAAGCACAATTTCAAGAGCATTCTTACCAAAGGAATAAAAAAAAGGAGGTTTAGGATTAAGCAGCCTCAGGCAGATTTGCATTCTTAAGAGTACCAAGGTGACAACATCATTCTTGCTACTATAAATTATTTGTGTAATTCCTGGTTAAAGTTTTTCAAAAGGAAGAGTTAACAGTATTGGTGATCATTGTATCAGCTAAAACAAAAAATTCAGTTAACCTCACTGCTCCACAAGTACCAAAAAGACAGTAAAAGTTTGACTAAGAAGAAAGATATGACTAAGATGATACTCGATTATACAAAGTAGAACAGAAGTGGAAGGGTCATAGGAGCCGCACCAATACTTTGATAATATCTCCAATAATGTTAAAGGGGCAGACTGTCCACATGCTGCCAATAGAGCCAAAAATGGATCCCAAGTGTGACCATCCACTGAAGAAGGCCTGGAAGTCAGAGAAAGTTTACTAACAGCTACATCGATATCTTCGCAACCTTCCTCATCCATGGGACATATTTCTCCAATGCCTTTTTCTGATAAAGGCTGCTCTCTGGACACATCTTCAATTGTAAAACCAATGCGTTTATTCTGGCTGGAGTACAAACCAGAGGGAATTCGCAATGATGTTTTTTCTGGGGTTTTCGCAGTTGAGGATCCATAAATAAATCTGATAGCAGATTCTTTGCGTGAAGCTGGGGTTTCTAATATCTTCGATAATGAAGCGGGAGGTGCATAGGAATCGTTAAGTTTCTTAGAAATCAACCATTTCTGTAGTACTGAGGACAGGCGTGATATAACGACGTCATCAGTTTGGATGCCCACAGTCCATGTACTGCATTTGTTTGGGGAGGGGCTTTCCACCATTAGTTCAAAATCATCAACTTCTTGAAAATATGCTCGCTCCTTTTCATAGTTCGGAGCTTCAACCTTTTTACCCTACAAAGTATGAAGAATTAGAAATACCAGACATGTAATTTTTTATGATAATCAAAATATTAGCTAGCTGATGCCTTTGGTAAAAAAAACAAAACAAGTAAAACATGGATTTGTGAGAGTTTGGAAAGTCTTTAAACAAATTACCCTTGGAAGAGGTGGTTTTGCTTTTCGACCAGGCTTCCTTTGTTGAGGATGTATTTCGGCACATACAGCAGCAATACTGGTTCTCCCCCTGTCAACAAAATAAAGGGAAAAACTCTTGTTACGAAAGACAAGTGGAAGTAATGAGAATAGCTAACGGGAGTTACAACAACTTTTCTTTGCAAGAGACAAAAACATCTTGTTTAGGTAACTTTGTATTGTTCTGGCAATATGTTTCTGCCAGTGAGCTTACATTTTCTAGAATCCCATTCTCAAACACCTATTGAAGTCTCAATTATGAAAGAGCTCGTTTCTAGTTGAATTAGCCTATCAGAAAAGCTTTATTACTACATAAAAAGAACATTAAAGATATATTATACATTTTCTATCTGCCTGGACGCTATGCTGGAGGCAAGGGCTCTGCTAAAATAATATATGAAACTTACACAGCCTTTAGCTTCATACAGGAAACATTCCTCAAAAGTGCTGATTGTTTGTCGTCATATTACACAAAAACATGGCAAGATTTAGAAACTCAGAAGCTTAGTGGACACTAGATTATTTACATTGATCAAAAAGTTAAAGAAAATTGCTCATAACAAATCAGCTGATAGTGAGTTTTGCAGCAACTGGAAAGACTAGCAACTTCTTAGGAGGGGATAAGTTATATGCATGTAAAACACTATATAGGGCCACAGTGCATAAGCATCCTTATTTGAGAACCTTGCTGACATAGCTACAAATTTCTGTTTTTCTCTCGTCTTTCTAGTCTCCTTTTTGTTCTTTTTCAGGTGGGAAGGGGGCAGTTGTGGGTCTGCTATACTAAAAGAGTCCATGTTATTTCATCCCAAGAACAGACTCTTAAAAAAAAAAACAAAGTTGATCGTTTAGATTAATGCTTGACAAATGATTTTACAAATTCTTCTTCCCTTTTGTTGGTTTTCTTATTAGAGTATTAACCTTGATCTTAATACTTCTGGCATTAATCGGTGGATTTACTTTTTTGTAGCTTCCCCTTAATTAAGAAATTATAGAATATCATTGTTTGAATAGGTGAGCTAATTAATGTATTAAAAATTGTAATAAATTAGTCACAAGAAAATCAAGAAAACTTTTGCCTGAATGGATACAATTATCTTGATAAGCTTAGCATGCAAGTCAACAGCATCCCTATCCACTACAGACATAATCCTTTTAAGTATATCCAATAAGACTGATCTTGATACCAATTTTGTAAAAGAAGGGTTGTCAATGAGAAATTTAGAGGGGCAAATATAAATTAGGGCAAAAGGCAAAACCTGGTGGAAAGGGAACGATTCCAACTGATTCGTTTAACAGGTAGAAAACTCAGTCGATTTTCATTACCCGAATTCGAAGTCGATTGCCTCCTGAAAACAAATCAAAGTAAGAAGTTCAAAACCTTCAACGAACCACCAAACCAACAAAACAGAATTCTTGAGAATGGGAAAAATAGAGAACCCTTCGGCATCTTTTGGGGTAATACTATGGGGCTTTTGCCGCCGATATACAACAGCAATATTTGGTTCTTGAATTTGTTGAGAGGGACGATCAAAGTGTTCTTGTTCAGCAGCTATGAGTTCTGCCCACAAATCAACTGCGTTTCAAATTCCACCGTATTAGTACCCTAAGAACCGAATCTTGATGAAAAATTATCGTAGAATGAAGAGATTTTTGCCCTATACCTGATCGTGAAGTCATGATGATATGCCAATTTTGAAGCTTACAATTGTAATGTTGCAAATGTCTTGTCACTGCAGTTCTAAGTAAGCAGAAATTTCTGGGAAATATAAAAAGTGTGCAGAAATTTGAAAGTTGGGCGATTGAGCGGGAAGAGAAACAACCTTCGGGTTTGGGTTTGGGTTTGACAAAGAGACTAATGGGCTCATCATATATATAGACTAATGGGTTTGGGTTTGACAAAGAGGCCAATGGGCTCATCTTAATCTCGATAGTTTCCCTAATTATATAAGTATAACTTACATAAATATCATAGTGTAAAACGTAAATTACCTTCTATCCCTATTATTTTTGTAATTACATAAATTCTATATTTTTTAGGCATTTCGGATACATAATTAAGGATCCGGATACATTATTGTTGATACAATATGTATCAATCTGTTGCACTTATTAAGGAAAAAAAAAAGTGAAAAATCAAATTAAGATCTCATAGTATCCATTTGTTGCACTAATTAAGGGAAAAAAAAGAGCTGAAAATCAAATTAAGATCCCATAAACTAGGTTATTCCATTCCAAATTATTGTCAAGAATTCAAAATCCTATAGTGTAACAAACCAAAAAATTCAAAAATTAAATTTCTTCTTCTTGTTCATCGTTCTCTCTGTTTCATAAAAACTTTTGTCGAAATTTTGGATAAGCGAGGTGAGTTATGAAGGATACAAAAGTGATGAAATTATTGTTGGACAAACGATTTCTTTTGTGAATCTTCAAGTTCATCGAATATTCTTTCGATTTTGATTCAAGATTGTCGAAAATTTTGAGATTCAAAATTCTTCTCCAGTTCATTGAAGACCCTTTCCGTTTTGATTCAAAATTGTTGAAAATTTTGAGTTTCAAAATTATTCTCCTAGTTCATTGAAGATTCTTTCAATTTTGATTCAAAATTATCGAAAATTTTGAGAAGATACATCATGAAGATTCTTTCAATTTAAATTGATAAGTGTTGTATTTCTACTAGATACATTAAATAAGAAAGTGTTGCCCATAAGATTTTAGGTTTGAAATCGATACATTATTATTTGGTAATTGTTATGTATCAGATACATTTAGTATAAATTCAAATTTACGTATCATAACTAAAAAATTAATGCATGATACATTATTATTTATGTATCTTATTTTGTTTGAGAAATACTATATTTTAAAATGAAAAAAATACATTATACATGTAATTGTTTCAAAACAGTTTCTTTTTGTATGTGTGATAAATAACACAAAGTTATGTATCAAGTACATTTCTATTGAACATGATAAACACTAATCAAAGATTCAACAACATTAGAGTTATGTATCAATACCTTAAATATGAACATTAGACATTGCATAAAACAAAGATTATTATAGTAGTGATGTACCATATCAATGATAACACTAACAAAGACTAATTTAAGACTCAAAATAAAAGAGATACATTAAAAATTTGTATCTTTGATAGTGATGGCCGTGTTATGGCAAATCCAACTTTTTTCTTCATTTTTTTTGGACGTTTTTCAATAGTAGAAAAAGAAAATAAATATTTTTCAAGAATTTTTTTCAACGACAATATGATTAACTAAAATTGCAAAGGTTCAATAAGATTTCAATGAGGGCAGGGGCGGAGGTAATTTTATTTTTATTTTTTAATATGAAAAAAATAAAAAATAATTATAAAAGAAAGAAATCAAAAATTGAAGTGATGGAAAAAACTCTACCTCTTGAATAATTTGAAATCATTAATTGGAAATAGAAAAGATTTTAAATTCAAAAATAATAGATTAATTGATAAACTTGAGATTGACACTTTCTGAAAATTAAAATGAATTTGAAATTTGTAACTGCTAAAGAAGTGAAGAGAATTTAGGGATAAAATGGAGGAATGAAATGGGAGTGGGAAATGTGGGTGTAGGCTGAAAATATGAGTGAAATATTTATGTATCCAGAAGATTTTATGAATTGGGGGAATTAAGGGATTTTTTATTTTTTTAAAAAAGGTAGGGATAAATGGATATTAAGGTAAGTAAATGTGTGTATATAAGTAATTTTTCCATTATAATATCAGCACTCGTGGATACATTGCTCTTTCTCCTAATACATAGCAAACGATACATAAGTTACGTATCACATACATAACTATAAATCAGATTCATATTGATTTTGTAAAATTGGGGCTATGTATCAAAAATAATATTTGTACTAAATACATTGAACATAACAAAGTTATAATGTATTATGTATCTGATAGAGGTCGTAGAGTGATGTATGATGTTAAGAGAGAGAAGGAAAAAAGAGATTTTGGTAATTAATTCAAATAGAAAAGGATTTTAGAGATTGTGTTATCTTAAGTCGTGTAATTTTCCCTAATCTATCCCTTTTAAATTTTGTAGTTTTAATTCTTATTGTTCAATATTTTCAGTAATAAATAAGTGATGGAAATTTTTTTCTAAAATCGAATAAACTAATCATTTTTTTCAGGGGTATAATATAAGTTTATATTTTTCGTATATGGTATCCTAATATTCTACCAATTATGTCATAAAAAGCATAATAAATTTGACACTGCCAGGTAACATGATATCCCACAGGCCACTCGTTTTGTTGCAAGACAATTTATAGCCACATTCCATATCCATTTTTCCCTCCTCAAGGATTACTTTCGGAGCTCATTAAACTGATATAAAGTTAAGTTTTGTTTGAACATGCAATTTAAATTTTTTTAAGTTGTAATTTTTCCGCATAAACATATAAACCCTAAAAACATGTGAAAACTATTAAAATTTTCTTAATTAAAATAAAACCCTATAGAATGGAGCAAATTGTGGTTCATAAACAAGATATCTAAATATTCTAAAGCACCGCATCGATAAATTACATATCTTCGTGTTCATTTTATAAATAAATGTTTGAGATTACAAACTTTCATATACACACAAATTTATAAAAATTTACCAGTCAACAATAGTAATATTTAGTTATTCTTTAATATAATTATTTCACATGGTATGAATAATCTCTTCACGCAAAGCATAATCAGTCTTTATTTGCAAAATTTAAAATATTGGATCTTAAGAGTCAAATTTTACATTTAAAATTTTATGACTCGTTATAAAGGATTAAACGAATGAAAAGAATAGAAAAAATATATGATTTGATGTGTAAATGTGACAAAGAGAAAACATTTCACTTACCAAACAAAGTGTTCGTACGGTTAAGATCACATGATCAATTATGCAAATCCAATAATTAGCAAGGCAATCCATGAATATGTCCCAGTAATATCTCATTGTCTCCTTCAATCGACATCTAATCTAATGTAATTAATCACAATAAAATTGATATTTTTTGTAATATCATTAATGGGATATTCAGTCTACAAGTCATATCCCTATGTGGCAGAGCATCATTTATAAGATTACGTGTCTTTGAAAGTTTGTAATCACAAATATTTATTTATAAATAAAATATGGAGATATGTGATTTATCAATGTGAACCTCATTATGGTATTCTGATATCTTGTTTATGAACTATGGTTTAATTGTATAAGAATTGAAGAAATTTTGATAATTTTGATTACTTGTGATGTGAGATTTTCATGTCTAAGAAAAACATACTGCAATATAAGATATCCAAACATGTTAAGTCCTCCAATGGAGGTTCTGTGAGTCTAAGAGGAAGAAGATCAACAGTAAAGAATAAAATTGTGTATTGTATTGAATGAATTGGTTACAGAGTATTCTAGAGAATATATATACATGTACTTTTCTTCACACCACTGATCAAGTTAGTTATAACTAACTACTCTGCCACGTCAGCTAATCTACAACTAACTAACTAATTTAGCTAATTACTAGCTAGCTAACTAATTGTAGTGTCTTCAATACTCCCCCTCAAGCTGTACGGTGCAAACAGATTATATACACCAAGCTTGGACAATAAAAAATCGTGTTGAGTTCTTCCCAAACTCTTTGTCAGTACATCTGCCAGTTGCATTTTTGAAGGTACATGATCTGTTTGAATAAGGCCCTCCTGTATCTTTTCTCGAATGAAATGACAATCAATCTCTATATGTTTCGTCTTTTCATGGTATATATGATTAGCAGCAATTTGAAGTGTTGCTTTACTATCACAAAATAGCCTTACTGGCAATTCCAATTCCACTTTCAACTCTTTGTACAAACCTATTAACCATACAATTTCTACCACTGCATTAGCCATGCTTCTATATTCTGCTTCAGCCGAACTCATTGACACTGTGTTTTGTTTCTTCAACTTCCATGAAATCAAAGAGTCTCCAATCTTTACTACAAAACCACTCGCAGACTTCCTTGTCATAGGACAAGTGGCCCAGTCAGCATCACAATAAACTGAGAGTTGCTTGGAGGCTTTGGATGATAACATAATTCCTAAACCTGGTGCATTCTTCAAATATCTGACCACCCTTAATGCACCCTCCATGTGAGATTTCTTTGGTTTGTGCATAAATTGGCTAAGATTCTGTACTGCATAGTTGATATCCAGCCTTGTCATGGTGAGGTAAATTAACTTATCAACCAGTTTCTGATAGCCTGAGGGATCACTGAGTATCATAACTTCATGTGTTTCCTGAGGTTTCAAATGCATGTCAAACTCCTGACTAGTGAACCTTTGATTAACCTCCAAACGAGTACTAACTGGTTTGGTCCCTGCAAGACCAAAGTCTGAGATAAGATCTAAGGCAAACTTTCTTTGACTTACCATGATACCCTCCTTGTTCCTGGCAATTTCAAGACCAAAGAATTATCTCATCTCCCCCAAGTCCTTGATCTTGAAATGAGTCTGAAGCATCATCTTGGTAGCAAGAACTAACTGAGAACATGAACCAGTGATAAAAAGATCATCCACATAAACGAGGATGGGAACTAAATCAGAACCAGAACTTTTGCTGAACAAGGAGTAGTCATGATGACTTTGCAGAAAACCTGAACTTAGAAGAGCTTCATAGAGCTTTAAGTTCCATTGACGAGATGTTTGTTTTAAGCCATAAAGTGACTTCCTAAGCTTACAAGCTGAAGGAGACTCCCCTTGGCTAAGTAGACCAGGTGGAGGAACCATATACACATCTTCCACTAAATCACTTTGCAGAAATGCATTAAACACATTCATCTGATGTAAATGTCACCCATGCATAGC